AAGTCTTGTTTCTCTCTATAGCATCAAGTTCTTCTTTCATGGCCTTCAGCCAGAGCTTCTGCTTAAGAGCCTCTTCTGTACTTATGGGTTCAGAGTCTACCATCATGGCACACTGAATAACTTCTTCTTCAAAGTCTACTTCAACGTCTTGCAGCATGTCAAATTCTTCATATCTTCTGGGGACGTTTCTGATTCTTTGTGGTCTCTGAACTTGTTCAGAGTCTTGGGCTTCAGATGATTGACTTTCTCTAGAGCTTTGACCAACTTCAGGATCTGGCATATTTCCAGAGTCTTGAACTTCAGAATTTCTAGCTTCAGAGGCTTGACTTCCTCTAGAGCCTTGGCCATCTTCAGAGTCTGGATCATCAGAGTCTGGATCATCAGAGTCACCTTCATCTTCTGAGTCTTCTCCAGAGTCAGAATCACTATCAGAGTCAGAATCAACATCAGAATTTACTCCAACTTCAGAAATTCTTAACTCTGACCTTTCTTCAGGAGTTCTAACATCAGAATCAGATTGAGACTTATCCCAATTCCAAACTTCTGATTCCTTCACAATCACATCTCTGCTGAATTCAATTTTATTGGTTTCTGGACAATAGAGCTTGTATGCACCTGTACTGTGGTACCCTATCAGAATCATCACTTTGCTTCTATCATCCAACTTCTGTCTTCTGGCTTCTGGAACATGTTTATAGCAAACAGAACCAAACACCTTCAGATGACTAACACTTTGCTTATCTCCAGTCCACTTCTGTATTGGAACTATTTCCTTCAACTTCTTCGTAGGACATCTGTTGAGTACATACGTAGCAGTGGCAACAGCTTCTCCCCAGAGTTTCTGAGGAAGCTTCTTCTCCTTTAGCATGCTTCTCACCATATCAAGCAAAGTACGGTTTCTTCTTTCAGCAAGACCATTGTGTTGAGGGGTATAAGGAGCAGTAACCTCATGCTCAATTCCATTCTCCTCACAGAACTTCTGGAACTCTTTGGAGTTATACTCACCTCCACCATCAGTTCTAAGAATCTTCAACTTCTGACCACTCTGATTCTCAGCCTTCATTCTGAACTTCTTGAATTCATCAAACACCTCATGCTTAAATTTAATAAGGGATACCCATGTCATTCTTGTGAATTCATCAACAAACAACACAAGTACTTATTCCCTCCAATTGATGCTACTGGAAATGGACCACACACATCAGAATGTACAACTCCCAAGGCATGTTTTGCTCTTGGAGCAGCTTCTGACGCAAATGGCAATCGTGGTTGTTTTCCTTCCATGCAAACTTTGCATGATTTTTCAGGCTTCTTAATTGCAGGAATTCCATGTACCAACTTCTTTGAATTCAGATGTTTTAAGCTTCTGAAATTCAAATGACCAAATCTTCTGTGCCACAGCTCACTCTCCTTCTCAGCACATGTTGCACTAAGATATTCTGAGTCTGCAGTTCTAACATTCACCTTGAATGTTCTATTCCTTCCTTGTTCTGACTCCATAATAAACTTCTGATTGCAGTCATACAGCTTCAGAAGATTATCCTTCACGGTAACTGAAAAACCTTTCTCAATTAATTGTCCCACACTCATCAGATTACTTCTGATGCCAGGTACATACCACACGTTCTGAATCAATGCTGTTTTCCCATTGTTCAGAATCACTCTGACATTTCCCATACCTTCTGCATTAAGATATTTGTCATCAGCACATCTGATCTTTGTTCTCTTTTCAAAGTCAAAGTCAACCAGCCATTTCTTGTTTCCAGTAAGATGATTTGAACAGCCAGTGTCCATATACCACCAGTCTATCAGATCCATATTATCAGATTCAGAAGCCATCAATAGCACAGATTCGTCATCAGAACTTCTGGCTATATTTGCTTCTTCTGATTTTCTCTCCTTGTTTGACCAACAATCTCTAGCAAAGTGACCAAACTTCTTACAACAGTAACATTGGATCTTCTTCTTGTCATACTTCTCTTTTCCCTTCTGAGCATTCTTTTGTCTATCAGAGGTTGAGCTTTCTGACTTCTGACCACCATCAGATCTTCTCCTGCCTTCTGAATGCTTCTGATACCTCCTATCAGAAGTTGCTTTCAGAGCCTGCTGCTCTACTTCCTTTTCAGAAGTTCTCTCAGTCAAACGCAACTCTTGCGCTTCTAGACTGCTCTGCAGCTCTTCAATTCTCATGGTGCTCAGATCTTTGGAATGTTCTATTGCTACCACAATGTAATCAAATTGAGGAGTAAGAGATCTCAATACTTTCTCCATGATTATTTCTTCTGAAAGAGTTTCTCCACACACCTTCATCTCATTAGTGATCAGAATCATTCTGGAGATGTATTCAGAGACTTTCTCATTATTCTTCATGTTGAGATTCTCATATTGCTTTCTCAAGGACTGAAGCTTCACCTTCTTCACTGATGCGTCACCACCATAACTTCTCACCAGTGTGTCCCACGCAACCTTTGCTGTTGTTGAATCTGCAATCTTCTCAAACACATTTACATCCACACATTGATGAATGAAGAACAATGCTTTCTGATCCTTCTTCCTTACTTCCTTCTGCGCGTTTTTCTGTTCATCTGTTGCATTTGCTGCTACTGGAACATAACCATCAGTGACAAGATCTAGAACATCTTGAGCACCAAATAGTACACGCATTTGGATCATCCAACGATTCCAGTTTTTATCATCAAATACTGGAAGTTTGGTGTTCATGTTGCCGTTTCCGTTCATCTTCTACCTTGCACAATACACTCAGATTTCTCACACAGTGTTTCCCAACCCACAGAATTAAAATTCTGATCAGATTTTGTTCAAGATTCAACACGAATCTAAGAATCAAAATCAAACACACAAGACCTCACGTTCACTCGTGTTTCCCGTGTTTCCCAATGAATCTGAACCGGAGCTCTAGATACCAATTGTTGGTGCAAAGGTAGAATAAATGATGAAAAGGAGAAAGAGAAATATTCTATTAAGTATGACGGCTACACAACTACTAAAAATAACAATGATTGCAACCCTATTTATAAACTAAAATTAGGGTTACTAGAATAAGATAAAATACTAAAATACCCTCTAACAAACTTAAGGGCTAAGAAAATAGTACTAATAATATGAATTACTTCTAATATATATATTCTTTCATCATAATAATAAAATTTGAGTAATGTTCTATATGGACACATATGCACATCAATAGTGGCAGACATGAAAATGAAAAAGGTATAAAATGGAAGTAGAAAGCAAATTAAAATCTACAAAAGGAATCAAAATTTCCATCAACTTTGAAAAAAATATACCTATAAGTTGTTCATTGTTGATACGTCTATATGAATTATATATGATCTTAGAAATAATATTCCATTCATAGCATCTTCTTTGAGAAGATATACCAATAATATACTTGATATATTTCCTGGTCAAATTAACAATTCATATATATTTGGTTTATTTTTTTAAGTTGATAAAATGACGAGTTTGAATATTTCCACGAATTAAACCTAAAGTTTTTTTTAGATACAAAGTGTGTAGACACACTAAACTTTGAGTTTAATTCACAGAAAATATATAAATTGAATCAATTTTAAGATACACTACAATCCTTGACATGAATTGCACTCATATCAAACATATAGATTAATGATATCTTATATGATACAATTTCTTGAATTATTTTCATACAAAATGTTTTTTTATAGAGTAAAAATTTGATTTTTGTATTTTTATAAATGGAGAGTTTCTTTATTTATAAAAAAACTTATATTTCTTCCGTCTCAAAATAAATAATTTATTTAAAATAAATTATTTTATTTAAAATAAATAATTTATTTTAATTTTTAATGTACTTTTTTTTTTTAATTTACTTTGTAATAATACTTTTATTATTTTCAATAAAATATAATTTAGTAAAAATATTATTATCTCTATTATATGTTTTAATTTTTCTTATAATTTATGTGAAATAGTTAAGTGAATCCTTATTATGAAAAAAAGAGTGCTATTAAATATTTAAGGATGTAACTCTGAACAAGAATTTTAATAATGAACATATATCTTGTCCAAAAGAAAAAAATTAAACAATTAGATATCAATAACTTCTATATAAAAGGACCGTATGCAACTTTTAATTTTTCATATGGTATAATTAATAAACAATACAAAATTCAAATATAAAAATATGAGAGTAGAAGTCGTGAACCTTTGTAATTGTCATTGCCACAAAACCACTAACCAAACTGTAACTATATGTTAATTAATGCGGCTAGAAACATCTAAACATTCTAAAATTTATATTTTAGAAATATTCTTACAATTATGATGCTCTAAAAAATTTGACAATATGTTAAAAGGCTTATTTCTATTTGCATATGGCTATTAGTAAAAATATACCGTATGTCTTTTAAGTTATTTTATGTTTTTTTCGCTATAAGATTGGCCTTTATATTAACTAACGTTTTTACCGTTGATTTTTTTCACAAATTCCATTATGGCTATTAGTAAAAATATACCATATGTCTTTTATTTTTTTGTCACAGTAAGGTCGTAATTTGTACAACAGACAAAACTTGAAGGACCTGGTTGTTACAGTTTAAAAACAAATGGAACCTGTTTTTTATAATTAAAACATAAATGATATGTACAACAGAAATGAGTTTGGTACTTTGATGTAACACTTGTTGACAATGGTTAATTTCTTCAATTCTGCCCATTTTGTGTTCATAAGTTCTATATCATTTTTGTTACAGTTAGGTAGTAATTTGTACAACAGACAAAATTATATACCAAAATAAAATTCTCAAAATATTGTTATAAACCAAAACATACATAATCATAAACCAAAACATTGTTATAGAATTCAAAACAAAATTCTCAAAACATAAGATCCCAAAACACATTGAAAACAATCTATTTGCTCTTTCTCCTTATGGTCAACTTTGGTCTCTAGCTTGTTGGTGGCTGAAATGCTGTTGTAGGTCCCTGTCTTCCCCTTCTCATGGCAAGTAATTAGGCAACGAAGATGGATTGTCGTGTCTAGATTCTGGAAGTAGATGTTGATAAAATGACTGCCTAAGTTGGTAAACTTCATAAAGAAATTGATTATACTTTTCAATCAAAAGTGTAATACTTTCCTCGATATAAACTATTTTACCACTTCTAAAATCATCTGATACTTTCTCTTGATTAACAACAGTTGCAAGAGAAGATATCATCTTATCCACCGCATCATCAATATTACCATCTTTTTTAAGCTGAGCTTGTAACGAAACTTGGAAGCTCTCATTAGATAACACTAATTCAGAAACCTTCGCATTTAGATTCTTTATCTCAAGGTCCCTTGCAGATAAAAGTTCCTATAAATCACCAAAAAAAAACAATTTTTTTTCTCAGCAACAAAACTAAATTTACACTTGGCAAACCAAAACTTGTCATTCATAAACAACACACCTGGTATTCCTCCACAACTCCCATTAATTAAATACTTAAAAATTAAAACTTTTTATCATCCCTATTTCAATTATACATAGAATATTGGGAATTTATATCTGATCTTAATAAGTATCAATGGTTAATTACGTATTCCCATTTGATTGAGTTCCCAAATGAGGATCCTAATCTAAATCTTGCTCTGCTACGTGATTATTCTTAAACATTGCTAGACTAGATTCATTCGGATCTGCAATTTCAAATTTTTTGTTATGAAGGTCATTGATGGAGTGATGAGATTTAGGGTTCTTATGTTTGTGATTTGGGGATTTAGGGTTATCATCTTGTTTTTCTCCAGAAATATAAGAAATAATAAAAACAAATGCCTATTCAACACTGCTAAATGACACATCAGTGATGTTTGTGTCACATAAGCGTTTTTGGAACAGAATATGTGAAAAAGGTCAACGGTGGAAACGTTAGATAACATAAAGTAAAAATGGCACAGAGTCGCCACCAAATTTTATTTATCCCAAATAGGGAAAGGGAAATATCGATAAAACCTTTAGAGAAAGAACACGGTCATTGCAATCAAGTTTCGGGTTCGGAAGTCGGTTATGCGAGGGGAATGTATTAGCATCCCCTCGCATCCATTGTACTCGATGGGAACCATCTAAGTTGTCTAAGCTCAAATGGGTGTTCTACTTTAAAAGTCTATTTCCTAAAGGTTTACTTACTAAAGGGACATAAGGTTGTTTTTTTTACTAGAGTGCTCGCCAAGGATTGGGGCCCTTGTGCCTACGTATCCTCACTTAAAAGAAGTGAAGAATTAGAGCTCTGTAGTTCGGAGGCTTGAGAAATGGTTATATGTTGGTTAATTTTATACCTTGAAATAGGATTTTCAGATGATGCTCTAAGGAAAAAAAGAAGTTTGGTGAGTTGATGTTATTTTTAGGGTTTTTAAAGAAAATTGGTCTTGATTAGGATTGCATTAAAGACTATGGGTAGAGGTGAATATTTCGAACCACCAAGTCGAGCGTCTTGTGTTTAAAATACTCGGAATGAGTGTAGGAGGGGCTCCATTCTCACTGCTTCTCCATCACTCAAGGCTCGTGATGCACAAACCTAATCGTATTTATTGTGTTTTAAATTTTATTGAGAAAAAAAGCCACTTGACGTTGGATCAAAGGTTTTATTGCTTATTAAGAAAAAGTTTGAAGTGATGCGAACAAGGTTGATGGAGATGCACAAAGCAATCGACTTACAAGTTTTGGGTATGGCCTGATATGTGGATCAGTAATGCTTTTGGGGTGCGGTCCTAATTCCTAAGATACCTAACTAGCGAAACAACGAAAAAACAAAACAACAAAGTACATCAAACGGGTGGGTGATACATGACAAAGTACAAGGGACAATCAAAGCGAGAAATAAAGAGGCTCATTATAGAATATCCTAAGAGGAACTAACGTGTGTGAGTGGTGTCTTAAACTAAACAAATGAATCCACAATACAAGCATATGATTAAAAACGAGGTAACGACGACCACCTTGCGACTTAAGGTCACAAGTCTCTAATGATGATTCAATGTCACGCCTAAGTCACACACGAATTCCAATAGACACTTACAAAAGTTCTCATTCCTCAAACTAATCCTAAGAACTAATATTTTTTATTTTTGAATTTATTATTTTTTTGTTCATTTTTTTTTAATTAAAAATTAAAGGTTACCGATCAAAAAAGAAACACTAATCATAAAATTAAAATCTCTAATCCTAAAAATAAAAGAAACTTATCCTAAAATTAAAATACTAATCCTAAAATTACTAATTAAAATGGTTATGAGAAACTAATCCTAAAATTAAAATACTAATCATAAAATTATAATACTAATCCTAAAATTACTAATTAAAAAAGATTATAAGAAAAACTAAATCCTAAAGCTAAAATACTAATCCTAAATTATAATTCTAATCCTAAAATTACTAACTAAAATATTAATCCTAAATTATAGTACTAATCCTAAAATTACTAATTAAAAAAGATTATAAGAAAAACTAAATCCTAAAACTAAAATACTAATCCTAAATTATAATTCTAATCCTAAAATTACTAACTAAAATATTAATCCAAAATTATAATTAACAGTTACAAGAAGTAATAACATAATGGGCTAGCAGGGAAGGGGGCGGTTAGGCCTAAAATGGAGGCATGGAGAAAATGGGTCAGGTCCTGTTAACCCGTACCCAGTTCGGTCAAGGAAAGAACAGGGTAAAAGAACCCTAACCGTTAGCAATAGTAGCCAAACCACCCTTTTCTAAACATCCAAATAACACGCACTGTAGAAAATGCTGAAAGGAAACTCCATAGCATCAAACGTTTCTCACTCGCCATGGATTTTTCAATCGCTTACGAAGACGTAGGAGAATCCATCATCACCAATGGCTCGCCTATCTTCATCTCTATCTCTCTCGAAAACTCCCTCAACTCGTCGTTCCCATCTCTCTCGATTCCTGTTTGATTTCCTCACCCAACTCGTTTCTGTTTCAAATCGCGACCTCTCAAGTTTAACTCACCTTTCTCACGTTTTTAAAGCCCACTCAGTCTCTCTCAGTCCTTCATTGGAATCACATCTACAGAATGCTACTCTATTCATGTAGGACAAACGAGTTGCAGTGGATAAAAAAAACTCCCTGTGAATGGAGGAGAACCGAATTTGTCGCGTTCTCTGGTATATGACTTTGTTTTAAGACTTTTCTTCTTCTCTTAGTGTTATTGATGTGGCTGTGGAATGAGAATTTGATTTTTTTATTAAGTTTGCTGAGAAAAACCAGAGTTTTGTGTTGATAAGAGTTTGAGTAAATTTTGTGAAAAAATCTGCTACTGTAACTTTTCTTTGTATTCCCTCTGTTCTATGTATGAAGAGTGACTGATAGGGTTTTCTTTTATGCTACTATGATGAATCCTTTTTTCTCTTTTGTTGTTGTTCTTATAGTGTAGAAATTTAAGGTTTGTGACCTGTTTGAATCTGCAGAATCTTCATTTTCAGTATGTTCGTAGATACTTTCTTTATGCCAAAACAATGTTTTTCCATTTTGGTGAATCTAAATACTCTGTGCCTAGCTGATTTTTCTACATTTTCCTATTGTTTTTCTGCATTTGTCTGCTGTTTTTTATTGCACTTTGTCTTGTTTCCAATTCTGACCCTATTTGTTTTTTGTGTTTGGGACCTCTTGGTGGTCCCATGATTCCCCTTTTTTTGACAGAATTTGAATGGTTTTTAGTTTGAACAATCATGAATTATTTTGGTATGAATCGATTTTGAGAATTTGAATATGGTCTGTGAATTTTTTTTTGGAAATTTTGAATGGTTTATGAAATGCACTAATGTTGAATTGTTTTTTTTATTTTTAATTTGATAACATAGTTTGGCCTTTGTACTTTGTAGGAATTTAAGGCTTGGCTTGGAGTGGAAGAAGAACATGAAGGTTGGTCGTGAAGGTTTAGGTATGGAAGCTTATCCTTTTAGGCATAGTTTAGGCTTATGAACTTTGGAATAATGGATTTTTTCTTGTAACACTTGCGAATTTGATTATTAAATCTAAGAACCTTGGATTTTTAAATGGTGGATTTGTATCATGAATTTGGGTGATTGTACTTAGAACTTTGAATGGATTTTGCACTTTGTAAAAATTCCACAAAATTGTAATGAATAATGTTCATCCTGTAAACCTTGAACCTTAATATGATCTTTGAATTCTCCTTGAAAACTTTTCATGATTCACACAAATTCAACATGGATGCTCACAACTTAAACTCTTGATTAGTAAATCTCATGGTCTAAGACTATCTTGAAACAAATTTTAGCATAAAACCAATTAGTCATCATTTGAAATCAATTCTTTCCATGGTTGGAAACAAGTTGGAAACAAATCAAGGCTAAACTTGAGACAATCATTCTAAACATGTCTTGTAGACGGGCTTAAACCACTTAAAAGACTTCTTGAAAATAACTTGGGACATGGCCTAAAACCATCTCGAATCATTTTGAGATGTGACTTAAAATCAAATTGAAACCAAATGGTCATGCTCTAAACTTCAAGTAATTCGTTTTCCAAAGAGTCCATTCAAATGCATCTCTCAAACAGTCCTTGACAACTTTGAGTAAATGGGACCGATGGGTTCACTTTTCTCAAAAGAATCCACACTAATATCATTCTCAAATCCAAATCAAATTATGTGTTATCCAATGAGCCTTAATCTTCAATTGAATAAAAAAACAACAAATCCTATTCGGTAGATCATTAAGAACATAATCCCTAAAGCTTAAGCGACAAGAAACGTCCTGTCTTGACAAAAATATCAAAGTAAACCCTATCCAATTGACAAGTATTCCTAAAAATAGGAGACCATGATTCAATCCTCTACACCATCTGTAAAGAAATGACTTGTGAAGCAAGCAACTGGGAGAAACCCTTAGGTGATGAAACTGTCTTCAACCAGGCCCATTATAGAAATAATCAGCCAGAGCATACAACATCCTTTCTTTATTAACCAAGATTAAATCAAGTTCCACCTGAATTGGGTGAATGACCACTGAACCAATCTATTTCTTTCCTTGCAACAAAATACCTTCCATGTCCTTTCCTGGAAAACCCACATGCTTGGTATATACCATGATATGATGATGATATGATAAATGCTTGGTGTGAGGGACTATGGAGAAAAAGAGGGATATATATATATATATATATATATATATATATATATATATATATATATATATATATATATATATATATATATATATATATATATATATATATATATATATATATATATATATATATATATATATATATATATATATATATATATATATATATATATATATATATATATAATAGATTGGTCAAAGGTCCAATATAAGGTCAAACCATACATAAACCCAATCAAGATTATCTAACATATATAGTTAGCACACATGAGATTCAACGTACACTTTTCACTATATTCATCTTGGACTATGCAATTCACTTGGGTGGTTG